CTAGAGTAATGTGTGTGTTTGTGTCTTAATTTTTAGCAAAATTTAAAATTAGAAAAAAGCTCTTTAAAGTATTTTTGTACAGCAAGTGCAAATGTTTATAAACGCTATAATAGCGTACAGTAATGTCCTAGGCCTTCGCATTTACTCACTGACTCTGTCAGAGCAACTTCCAGTCCTGTAAGCTCCATTTATGGTGAGTACTCTATACAGGTGTACCATTGTTTATCTTTTATAGTATGTTTTTTACTGTACTTTTTCTACATTTAAATAGGTTTAAATACAAAAATATTTATTATTGTGTTACAATTACCTATAGTATTCAATACAATAAATACTGTACAGGTTTGTAGCCTAGGAGCAATAGGCAATATCATATAGCTTAGGTGTGTGGTAGGCTATGCCATCTACATTTGTGTAAGTACACTCTTGTGCCACAGCAAAATTGCTTAATAATGCATTTCTCAGAATATATCCTTGTCATTAAGCAATGCATAACTGTATTTGGTAAAACACAAAGATATATCTTTTATTATGCTATTAAGCGTCTTTTAAAATAATTTGTCAGTTATAACTTGTTTATTCTTTCAAACGAACATTGAAATCATTGAGTTTACTTCTTAAGCATTTCATTGGTATCTTTATTTAAATTGCCTATGTTTATGTTATTAAACATACTAATACACAGGTTTTCTTTTTTGGGCTCAGTGAAGTTGGGTAGTTTTCATTATATAAGATGTTTTGCATTTCTTATTAGGATGTTTCTTATGTATTGCATTGTTTCTGATTATTGTTGAAGATGGAGCTTTTTTCCTGTTAAGTTTCTGAAGTGACTACTGTTGAGATCTATGTCTATATCTATCAATGTCAATATCTATATCTATATTGTTGACTTTGGTATCTTTTTAAACTATCTTACTGACTTCTATTGGTTCATTTTCATTTTATTTACCTAGGTTTTTCCATATACAGAAGAATCACTTGAAAATAGAGATAAGTTTGTCCCTATTTAACAATAATTTATTGTGTATTTCAAAACAACTAAAAGAATGAACTTGGAATGTTTCTAACACAAAGGAATGATAAATGCTTGAGGTGATAGATATCTCAATTATCCTGATTTGATCATTACACATTGTATACTTGTATCAGTATATCACATGTACTACATAAATGTGTACAACTATTATATATCCATGATAATTAAAAAATAAATTATCAGTTAAAAAATTGTCCTTTATTACATTGGCTATAACTTACAGAAAAATGCAAAACAGTAACTGTTCTTCCTGAATTTAATGACAATGCACCCTATATTTTATCATTAACCATAACATTGGCTATCAATATGTGGTAACTATTCTCTATTACATTAAGAAAATTTTCTTCTATTTTCAGGAGGCTTTTATATTTATTTTAATATTGCATTCATTTTAATTATTTTTAATCTTTGCAATTATTAAAATAATTATTTTTAATCTTCAGAGGTATTGATGTGACTAATTGACTAGTGTATTTAACATGCTAGTGGATTAGCATGTTATTTATATTAATAGTGAGATTAGTTTTTGATTTCCTTTTTTGTGCTGTATTTGTGTGTGGGCTTTGGTATTAGAGTATTGGTGGTTTGGGAAAATGAATTGGAAGTTTGCCATCTTTTTCTCTGCTCTGGAACAACTTAAATTGCATGTTAATTATCTTTCCTTGAAGCTTCAGTAGGACTCGCTTGTAAAATTGTCTGGACATAAATCAGCTTTTGGAGTTCGTAGGCAAAAATTTCAATTTCTCCCATGATTATTGATATCCAGATGAACTATTTTCTCAAGTCATTTTTGGAAGTTTATATGTTTTTAGAAAATCATGTGTCTCATCCTTAGTTTTAGAATTTTTAGCTTAGGTTACTGTGTTTAAATTTCTTATGCCATTATAACATACTTTTTTTTTGAGACAGTTTTGCTCTTGTTACCCAGGCTGGAGTGCAATGCCTTGATCTCGGCTCACCACAACCTCCGCCTCCTGAGTTCAAGCAATTCTGCCTCAGCCTCCCGCGTAGCTGGGACTACAAAGATGCACCCCCATGCCCGGCTAATTTTTGTATTTTTAGTAGGACGGGGTTTCACCATTTGGCCAAGATGGTCTCGATCTCTTGACCTCGTGATCCACCCACCTTGGCCTCCCAAAGTGCTGGGATTATAGGCGTGAGCTACCATGCCCGGCCTATAAAAATACTTTTATATCTGTGAATAAAGCCTAATTCTTGCTTTTAATGATTTAAATGTTTCTGTTGTTTAAATCTGCAAGAGGTTTGTCCATTTTATTGATATTTGCAAAGAAATTAGCTCTTAGATGTATTTATCAAATCTTTTTTTGTTTTCTTATAATTTCTCTTGATCTCTTAGGTTTCTTGTCTTGTTTTTTGCCATTTTTCAAAGCTATTTTTATTTTCTATTTTAAAAAATAAATGTATTTAAGGCTATAAAATTCCTTCTGAATATATTTGTCCTCATATTAATTTCGATTTGTAGATTTTGCTGTATTTGAGGATTTAATAGCCTATAACTGCATTTTTAAGCTTTTGTAATAAATAAGTATAAATAAATCAATAAGTAAGTATAAGTAAATCAAAGCAATAAAATATAAGGGTACAATTAGATGAATTTTTTAATGAAGTAAAATTTATACTGAGTGAAATGCACGTTAGTTGTACAATTTGATGAGTTTTGGCAAATACGTATGTCGGTGTAACCAACACACCACCCAAGACACAGAACTCTTTCACTACCCCAAATGTTTTCATGTCACCTTTCAGTCACTTCCCACTCCTCATGGACAACTGCTGCTGATTTCTGTCCCCACAGATTCATTTCATGATTATTGGGCTTTGTGTATATGAAATCTTACAGTGTGCTCTTTTGTGTCTGCATTCTTTCCCTGAGCATATTGATAATTGGATTAATCCATAGTGTTGCTTATATCAGTAGTTCATTCATTTTTCTTTTAATTGCTGAGTAGAATTCCATGGTATGACTGTACCATAATTTGTTATCCTGTCTCTAGATGAACTTTTGGGTTGTTTCCAGTTTTTGGCTATTATGCATAAAGCTTCTATAGAAATTCCTTTAAAGATCATCTTTCTGTGGATGTTTTCATTTTCGGGGGGTACATATTTAGTGGAATTTCTGGGGCAAGGGGTATGGTTAATTGTATCAGCAACTGCCAAACTGTTTTCTACTGTTTGTACCATAGTATATTCTGTGCAGAAATGCATGAGACTTCCAGTTATTCCACATTATTGTTCATAATTGGTATTGTCAGTCTTTTAGGTTTTAGCAACTTTATTGGGTACAAAGTAGCAAATCATGTGTTTTTAATTTGTATTTCCTTGATGAATAATGATATTGAACATCTTTTTATGTGCTAATTGGCCATTCATATACTTTTGTGGGGTGAAAGGTTCAGTCTTTTGTCCATTACAAAAATGGGTTGTCTGTTTTCTTTTTTTTTCTTTTTTTGAGACAGAGTTTCACTCTTGTTACCCAGGCTGGAGTGCAATGGCCCGATCTCACCACAACCTCCGCCTCCTGGGTTCAGGCAATTCTCCTGCCTCAACCTCCTGAGTAGCTGGGATTACAGGCACGCGCCACCATACCCAGCTAATGTTTTGTATTTTTAGTAGAGACGGGGTTTCACCATGTTGACCAGGATGGTCTCGAACTCTTGACCTCGTGATCCACCCGCCTCGGCCTCCCAAAGTGCTGGGATTACAGGCTTGAGCCACCGCGCCCCGCCTGTTTTCTTTGTTATTTGAGTTGTAAGCGTTCTTTACATATTCTGGATATAAGTTGTCAGATTTATGTATTGTAAATATTTTCTTCTAGTTTTTTTTTACAGTGTCTTTTGAGGAATAGATTTTAGTTTTAATGCAGCTCATTTTTATTACTTTTTCTTCTATGGTTATTGCTCTTTGTTTTTTACTTAAGAAATCGTTACCTACCCGACTATTGTAAATTTGTGTTTTCTTCTCACAGCTTTATAGTTTTAGCTTTGCGCTTCATCCCATCATTCGTCCCAAATTAATTTTTGTGTTTGGTATGAAGTGGTATGAAGGAGAGGTCAAGATTTATTTTTTTCCCATTTGGTTATCCAATTGTTCAGTTGTTTCAACACCATTTGTAGAAAAGACTGTCCATTCCCTATGGAATTATTTTGGTGGCTTTGTTGAAAATCAATTGAGCGTATTTTATGGATCTTTTTGTGGACTTTCTATTCTGTTTCTATACTTGCAGTTTGAAGTTTCTATATTTAATACTCTCTTTGACCCATGAATTATTTAGGAATATGCTGACATCTTTAACAACAACTCTAAAAAAAAAAAAAAAAAAAAAAACCTGTAACTTATGACACAGAAAACCATTATTTTAGGGCCATGTCAGTAATGAAGCTGATTAGTTATTCACCGGCGTAGGCATGTCCATTTTTTAAAGTAGTTCTGAAACCTGGCAGTATACATGGGGAGTTTTTAAAAAGAATATAGAAGCCCACCCCAGACCTAATTTTCGGTGTAGAAACTGGAGAGTTTCTGTTTTTAAAAAGCTCTTCCAGGTGATTCTGAGACCTCCAGTCAATTTGGAAGCCATTGCTCTAAGCACTACCCCTTACAGCAAAGAACAAACTTAGGGTTACTCTCTAAGCCCTCAGTGGATTTAAAGCTTTTCATTATTTCAATATACAGAAACAACCTTCAAGAGAGGAGAAGAAACAATTAGCCTGTTTTTCTCTCAAGCATCGAAATCACCACAAATCACAGGTTATCTTTGAATGACCCTCTTTTTGACTTGAGAGAATACAATATTTATGGTTATTATAGTATATTTAAGATATTTTACAAGTTACAAAAACCATTGAATTCTGAATGACTTGTCTGCTGCTGTTCAAATGTAGTGACTTAAAGATTCAGGGAGGAATCTTTGGGACTATGAAAGTCAATGTCTTATTTATTCCAGGGCTAATGGATCAGAAAATCTCCAAGAAGGCCAAGAGAGCTGTCAAATGAAGTGCACTGTAGCTCAAGACCAGAGAGAAGGGCCTTGGAGGTAAGAAGGGCTTTGGAAGAAACTTAGTATCTCCATGTATTAGTGAGAACATTAAAAAAAAAAAAAACAAAAAACCCTGTAGCTTCTCAGTAGATATTATATATAACAAATCACCATCTTTTCTTAGACCAGTGGTTCTCAACTAGAGGTGAGTTTGTATTCTAGAGGATATCTGGTTTTTGTTTTTCACAATTAGGAGCGCTAACTGGCATTTAGTAGGTAGAGACCAGAGATGCTGCTAACATGTTACAGAGCAGCTCCCCACAACAAAGAACTATTCAGCTCAAAATGTCAATAGTGCAATGGTTAGGAAACCCTGTCTTAGACAAATAATATGAAAGAAGATTTTTCCATGAGAGACTACTTGGCACCTACTTTTGATAGCCAGAGATTTCCCAAAGCAAAATGTCCCATGTCAAGTTCATGTTCTTTCCAGCCAAACACTGGACTTCTTTTATTGTTCTCTAGCGCAGGAAAAAGTACCAGCATTCATTCTATGGTGAATACAAGAAATCTGTGACTCATTTTATATCTCTTGGGGTGTTCTGTACTGTGCCTAGGTGTGGATTTACTTTTCTTTATGCTGCTTGGGACTCACTGGGAATCTTAATTAAGGATTCACATCTTTCTTCTAGAAAATTCTTAATTATCTTTTCAAATTATTCTCTCCACTTCCCCCAAAAAGGCTCATTCTAGACTTTCTCATTATATACTTTATGTCTCTCTCTTTCTATCTTGTATTTCTATCATCTTTGCATTATATTCAGAGTAATTTCTTCAGGTCTACTGTCAGTTTCACTATTTCTATCTTCATCTTTTTCTAATCTGCTGCTTGACCCAGCCAAAGAATTTATAAGATTTGGGACTTTATAAGATTTGGGACTTTATAATATTACTGTTATTTGCTAATTTAATGACTATATTTTTCATATCTGGAAGTATTGTTTAGTACTTTTGCCAACCTATATGGTGTTTTTCTCAGTTTTTTCTTTCATGTATATTTGATTCAATATTGTAATTTGAAATGCTCGTAGTCTTCAATGATGATTCTCTAATGAATTTCTTAGAGATCTAATTCTTTCAAATCCTTCTATTTTTGCTTATGGTAGATGGTTTTCTTGTGTTCTTATGTAATTCTAGATTGTGATCTTATGATTGGTAGGACATTACCTGTGAAAAACTTATGTGGTTTATTTTTTTTGTGTGAATTCAGAAAGAGTTTGATTTGCTTAGGTTTCCCTTGGAGAATTATTATACTCAGCTTACTTGTTTATTCACTTATTTAGCTATTGGATTGGGGTTTCCTAAAGTGGACATGCAGTATAGATTAGAACTTCATATCTTTATCAAGGCAGACTTTTTTTGTCCTTCTTTATCAGAATCTTGGCCAAAATAGATAAGCATCTTTATCATACTTTCTTTATAAGTGGGTATATTTTTCCAGCCTACCCTGTGAGAGTAGCTCTTTGAAGGTTCAGGCTTACATAGGGATTTTGGGCCCCAAACCTTGTCTCTTGCTTGAGTTAAAGCAAGAAAGCCAGTGAGGCTGGGCAGCAATGAGTAAGAGAGAATAGTGGTAGAATATGAAGTTAGAGAAAGAGGTAGTGAAAGGCAAGAGCATGTGTGACCTTGGAGATCATAATTAAGATTTTTGTTTTTGACTGGATGCAGTGGCTCATGCTTGTAATTCCAGACTTTGGGAGGCCGAGGCGGGTGGATTATGAGGTCAGGAGTTCAAGACCAGCCTGGCCAACACAGTCAAATCCCATCTCTACTAAAAATACAAAAATTAGCTGGGCGTGGTAGCAGGCTCCTGTAATCCCAGCTGCTTGGGAGGCTGAGGCAGGAGAATCATTTGAACCCGAGAGGTGGAGGTTGCAGTGAGCTGAGATCGCACCACTGCACTCTAGCCTGGGTGACAGGACTAGACTCCGTCTCAAAAAAAATTTTTAGTTTTTACTCTTAATGAAATGGGAAGCCATTGAAAGGTTTTGAGTAAAAATGGAATACTCTATGTTTTAGTGATTGAGGAGAGGAAGAGTATCACATAAGTGAGACCAAACTAATGCCTAGTGATGTGTGAGTGTAACTAGGAGAGTGTGGGTTAAGGAAGCTGAGAGAAGATTCTACTTTGGGGAGAAAGAGAGGCTAACTGTGCTTATCAAATGCTGCTGAGAGGTGTGTACTCAGATTGACCACTGGAATTAGCAGCATGGATGTGACTGATGATCTTGACAACAACGTTTTAGTGGAGTGGTAGGGACAAAAAATCCTAACTCAGAGGAAGAACTGAATCAGAGGGGATACAGAATCATGGACATCAGAGAAGACTGAGAGTAAGACTTGGGGCTGGAAACATGAGGATTCAGCTTACTGAATGGTGGGACCTCCAGTTCTCTTCCCACCCTTACTCCTAGAATTCCAAGACGCTGGCAGGAAATTGCACAGAGCTTAGCTGAATGGGAGAAAGCTGAGCTTCATTCGAGTAGCTGATTAAGACAATGAGCCAAACCTTTTTACCACTTACTACATTAGTATATGCAAGAGATCAGAAAGGATAAAGGTTTGGCTCTCTCTGTGTTCCATTTTTCCCAATGGAGCCATGTTGGGTAAGGGTCAGGTGGATCAACTTAGAAGTGGGGATCATCTCATTGCTCAGGGATCCCTAAATAAAAGGCTCCAGCTGTCTTAGAGACCCAGGGTCTGGAGAGAGAGGGCAGGGGAGTGGCTAGGAATGGAAAAGCAGTGAATACTGAGTCACAGTGGAGAAACGTGTCTTCAAGGCTCCCAAATAAAGTGGTCTTGGCAGAATTGTCTGAAAGAGACCTTGGCTAGTTTCCCCCTCTCCCCATAAAGGGACCTCAGAATGGAGGGGTCTGGGCTAAGGATGCAGATATGCCTAAGAGCATGGCTGGTCTAGGTGGCCTGACTCCTTGATTGTAACACCCTGCAGAGACTGCGACACACTGGCTGTGTACAAACTTTAGTGCAGAACTGTGAGACCTGTCCAGTAAAGCCTTTGAGACTTTTCTGATAAAGCCTTTGTAATGACCTATGATTGGGCCTGAAAGATGATGACACGTAAGATTTTGGTTAGGAGCCAGGATCCTCAGAGATTACTTTTTTTTTTTTTTCATAAGAAATTGAGCAGGCCAGGGAAAAAGCTTCAGATGCTGGTATATGGTGGTGTAAGTCCTAATTAATAGACCTGTTTGCCACCTCATCACTGCAGTGAGATTGTCCTGTTAATCAGCCCCATCCATATACATAGAGCATCTAGGTGGCTTTTTAAGTACGTATCATAATGGTATGAACAGATGGCTAAGGATTTCAGGTATTGGAGAAACATTTCCTGTGTGAAAGAAAAACCAAATAGTCACACAGATAAAAGGAACCTAGAAGAAACAGACAATTTCAAGAATAAAATAAAACTTCAAATAACACATGTATTAGTAATAAAACAAATATATTCATAGAAATCAGGGAAAATGTTGTATCCAGAGAACAATTAAATTCTGTGAAAAAGAACATTCAGAGAACAAATAGGATCTTTTCCAGTTTAGAAAAACTGACGACTAAAAAAAACCAGCAATAGAAGTGCCAAAATATATGTCAAGATACTTTTGCAGAAAATATAGCAAAAATATAAAGAGGTATAAAATTTAAAAATTAAGAAGACTAGAAAATAAATCCAAGAGATAGAATATTGAAGTGTCAGGAATTACAGAAGAGAGTAGAGAAAATGGCAGGGAGGCCATTACCAAAGAAGTAATAATACAATCTCTCTGAAATTAAGAACACTGACCTCTAGTTTGAAAAGATCCATAGTATGTCCAACACAATAAATGAAAAAGTCCCTACTGTCAGACCTGATCTCTGCAGGGCGGTCTTGCGTATCAGACAAGCCAGGTCCAACCTGAGCAGTCTTTGGTCTGCTGGCCTCTCCCAGGGCCCCAGCCTGGCCACACCTGCTTACAGGGCAGCCTTGGGGCCCTGGGGGCCCACATCATAGCTTCTGTGTCTGTGGACCATGTCTGACCTGTGGAAAACTCCAGAGAGGTGGCGTCTATGGCCATACATTAGCCTGCAAGTTTTCTCCCCATACTACAGCTTCCCCTGAGCCCATGGCAACTCCCCACATCACATGGCTGGTGTGTGTCTGCAGGGGCGGGTTTTGCTTCATTTGCCCTGCCAGTAGGAGTGCAGTGTGCACCCCCACCCCCAGCCCCCCCGTGATGGTTGTTGCAGACAAATCCTTGGCCGGCACAGAGCCAGGAAGCCTTACCTAGCCAGTGCCCAACCCTTGCACTGATCCTGTACAGAAAACAGGGCATCCTCCCACACCCAGAGTGATCACTTCTGCTTAATGGGGATAGAGAAGGCACCCAGACCTGTTCTGCCCCAAGCCAATGCCACCTCCACTGCAACAGCACACACAGTCTCCAGCAGGGTCCCCCACACCCTCACCAGCTGCCTTGCCTCTACCACTGTGGTGAACGACCACAAGGGAGGCAGGTGTCCCCACATTCTCTAGCACTCTGCTGCAGCTGCCACACCCTGGCACCTCCAGCACAAGTGGATTCCAAACCTGGAGGAGCCAGAGAACAAAGTCAGGCTCAATACAAGTCCTCCACAGTAAGAACATGCATTCCAGGAGTTGGGAGTTGAGTGTTGGCCCCCTAAAATCTCCCAGAAATGAAGCCAGCTGGCTTAATCTGCCTTATACTACAATCAGACCCTTGAAGTCATCAAATAGGACAAGGTAGAAAAACTCCAAAGGTCAGCAACCTCAAAGATTGAAGGTTGATAAACCCACAAAGATGAGAAAGAATAAGTGCAAGAATGCTGAAAACTCAAAAAGTCTGAGTGCCTTCTGTCCTCCAAGTGATCGCATCATCTCTCTAGCAAGAGTTTGAAACCCAACTGAGGCTGAGGTGGCTAAAATGACAGAAATAGAATTCAGAATATAGACAGGTATGAAGTTCCGTGAACTACAGGAGCACATTGTAACCCAATAGAAGGAAGCTAAAAATTATGATAAAACATTGTAGGAATTGACACACAAAATAGCCAGTATAGAGAAAATGTAGCTAACCTGAAAGAGCTGAAAAACACACTATAAGAATTTCATAATGCAAGTATTAATAGCAGAATAGACCAAGTAGAAGAAAGAATCTCAGAGCTTTAAGACTAGCTTTCTGAAATAAGGCAGGCAGACGATAATAGTGAAAAAGGAATAAAAAGGAATTAAAACCTCCAAGAAATATGGGATTATTTAAAGAGACTGAATCTACAACTGATTGGTCTACCTGAAAGAAATCGGGAGAACAGAACCAACTTGGAAAACATATTTCAGGATATCAGCCATGAGAACTTCCCCAACCTAGCTAAAGAGGCCAACATTCAAATTCAGGAAATGCAGAGAACCCCAGTAAGATACTTCACAAAAAGATCATCCTGAAGACACATGATCATCAGATACTCCAAGGTCAAAATGAAAGAAAAATGTTAAAGCCAGCCAGAGAGAAAGGCCAGGTCACATACAAAGGAAGTCCATCAGACTAACAATGGACCTCACAGCTGAAACCCTACAAGGCAGAAGAGATTGAGGGCCAATATTCAACATTTCTTAAAGAAAAGAAATTCCAAACCAGAATTTCATATCTGGCCAAACTAAGTTTCATAAGTGAAGGAGAAATAAAATCCTTTTCAGACAAGCAAATGCTGAGGGAATTTATTACCACCAGACCTGCTTTACAAGAGATCCTGAAGAAAGCACTAAATATGGAAAGGAAAGACTATTACCAGCCTCTAAGAAAACACACTGAAGTACCAGACCAGTGACACTATAAGGCAACCACATAAACAAGTCTGCAAAATAACCAGCCAACATCATGATGACAGAATCACATTCACACATATCAATAATAACCTTGAATGTAAATGGGCTAAATGCCCCAATTAAAAGACATAGAGTGAAAGACACAGAGTGACAAACTGGATAAAGATCCAAGATTTATTGGTATGCTGTCTTCAAGAGATCCATCTCACATGCAGTGACACATGTAGGCTCAAAATACAGGAATGGAGAAAAATCTACCGAGCAAATGGAAAACAGAAAAAAGTAGGGGTTGCAATCCTAGTTTCTAACCGAACAGGCTTTAAACCAAGAAATATTTTTTGTTTTTAAAAAAGAAAGACAAAGAAGGGCATTACATAATGGTAAAGGGTTCAATTCAACAAGAAGATCTAGCTAATTTAAATATCTATGCACCCAACACAGGAGCACTCAGATTCATGAAGCAAGTTCTTAGAGACCTTCAAAGAGACTTAGACTCTTATGCAATAATAGTGGGAAACTTTAATGCCCCACAGACAATATTAGACAGATCATTGAGACAGAAATTAACAAAGGTATTCAGGAACTGAACTCAGCACCAGATCAAATAGACCTGATAGATATTTATGAAACTGTCCACCCAGAAACAACAGAATATATATTATTTTCATTGCCACATGGCACATACTCTAAAATTAATCACATAATCGGAAGTAAAACACTCTTCAGCACATGCAAAAGAACTGAAATCTTGACAGATGATAGTCTCTTGAACTACATCACAATCAAATTAGAATAAGAAATTCACTCAAATAAGAAATTCACCCAAAACCATACAGTTACATGGAAATTGAATAACCTGCTCCACAATAACTTTTGAGTAAATAATGAAATTAAGGAAATCAAGAAGTTCTTTGAAACTAATGAGGACAAATATACCACCTACCAGAATTTCTGGGGCACAGCTAAGGCAGTGTTAAGAGGGAAATTAATAGGACTAAACACACATACCAAAAAGTTAGACAGATCTCAAATTAACAACATCACAACTAAAAGAATTAGAGAACCACGAGCAAACAAATCCCAAAGCTAGAAGAGGCAAGAAATAACCACAATCAGAGCTGAAGTGAAGGAGATTGAGACAGAAAAAACCCTTCAAAAGATCAACAAATACAGGAGCTAGTTTTTTGAAAAAATAAAATAGACCACTAGCTAGACTAAGAAAAAAGAAAAGAAGATTCAAATAAACCCAGTCAGAAATGACAAGGGGGATATTACCACTGATCCAAAAAAAATGCAAATAATCACCACAGAATATTATAAACACCTCTATGCACATAAGCTAGAAAAAAATGGATAAATTCCTGAACATAAACACACTCCCAAAACTGAACCAGGAAGAAAGTGAATCCCTGAACAGACCAGTAACAAGCTCTGAAATTGAGACAGGAATAAATAACCTACTAACCAAAAAAAAAAAAAAAAAAAAAAAAAAAGACCAGGACTAGACAGATTCACAGCTGAATTCTACCAGTTGTACAAAGAAGAGTTGGTACCATTCCTACTTAAACTGTTTTAACAAATTGAGGAGGAGGAACTCCTTTTTAATTCATTCTATGAGCCCAGCATCGTCCTGACACCAAAACCTGGCAGAAAGACAATAAAAAAAGAAAATTTGAGGCCAATATTCTTGATGAACATTGATACAAAAATCCTGAGCAAAATATTGGCAAATTGAATACAGCCTCACATCAGAAAGCTTATCCACGGGGATTAAGTAGGCTTTATCTCTGGAACGCAAGGTTAGTTCAACATACACAAATCAATAAACGTGATTCATCACATAAAAGAACTAAAGAAAAAAACTACACGGTTATCTCAATAAATGCAGAAAAGGCTTTCCATAAAATTCAACATCCATTCATGTTAAAAACTCTCAATAAACTAGGTATTGAAGGAACATATGTCAAAAAAAGATCCATATATGACAAACCCAGAGCCAACATCATACTGAATGGGCAAAAGCTGGAAGCATTCCCCTTGAAAACCAGCACACGACAAGAATGCCCTCTCTCTCACCACTGCTATTTGATATAGTGTTGGAAGTCCTGGCCAGGGCAAGCAGGCAAGATAAATAAATAAAGGACATCCAAATAGGAAGAGAGGAAGTCATACTATCCCTGTTTGCAGATGACATGATCCTATATCTAGAAAACTCCATAGTCTCAGCTCAAAAGCTTCTTAAGATTTTAAACAACTTCAACGAAGTCTCAGAATACAAAATCAATGTGCAAAAAATCACTAGCATTCCTACACAGCAACAACAGTCAAGCCAAGAGCCAAGGCAGGTACAAACTCCCATTCACGACTGCCAAAAAGAATAAAATACCTAGGAATACAGCTAACTATGGAGGTGAAAGATCTCTGCTACAAAACACGGCTCAAAGAAATCAGAGCTGACACAAGCAAATGGGAAAACATTTTATGCTTATGGATAGGAAGAGTCAATATTGTTAAAATGGCCATACTGCCCAAAGCAATTTATACATTCAATGCTATTTCTATTAAACTACCATTGAGATTCGTCACAGAACTAGAAAAAACTATTTATTTTAAAATTCATATGGAACCAAAAGTGAGCCTGAATAGCCAAGGCAGTCCTAAGCAAAAACAACAAACTGGAGGCATCGTGCTACCTGACTGCAAGCTATACTACAGGGCTACAGTAACCAAAACAGCATGGTACTGGTATAAGAACAGATACACACACCAATGGCACAGAATAGAGAACTCAGAAATAAAACTGCATGCATACAACCATCTGATTCTTTACAGCCCTGACATAAACAAGCAATGGAGAAAGGATTCCCTATTCAATAAATGGTGCTGGGATAGCTGGCTAGCCATATGCAGAAGATTGAAACTGGACTCCTTCCTTACACCTTATACAAAAATTATCCCAAGATGGGTTAAAAACCATCTTTAACTGTAAAACCCCTAACTATAAAAACTTTAGAAGAAAATCTAGGCAATATCATTCAGGACATATGCACAGGCAAAGATTTCATCAGCAAATGCAACAAAAGCAAAAATTGACAAATGGGATCTAATTAAAGAGCACAATGAAAAACAAAAAACAAACCCTATCAACAGAGTAAACAGACAACCTACAGATTGGGAGAAAACTTTTGCAAGCGGTGCATCTGACAAAGGTCTAATATCCAGTATTCACGAGGAACTTAAACAAATTTACAAGGAAAAAAACCCTATTAAAAAGTGGGCAAAGGATGTGAAGAGACACTTTTCAAAAAAAGACATGCATATGGCCAAGAAACATATGAAAACAAAGCTCACTGATTATTAAAGAAATGCAAATCAAAACCATAATGAGATACCATCTCACCCCAGTCAGAATGGCTATTATAAAAATTAAAAAACAAAACAAAACAAAACATGCTGGCAAGATTGTGGAGAAAAAGAAATGCTTTTACACTGTTGGTGGGAGTGTAATTAGTTCAGCCATTGTGGAAGACAGCTCAGCCATTCCTCAAAGACCTAAACACAGAAATACCATTTGAACCAGCAGTACCATTATTGGGTATATACCCAAAGGAATATAAATCCTTCTAATAAAGACACATGCATGCGTATGCTTGTTGCAACACTACTCACAACAGCAAAGATGTGGAATTAACTCAAATGCCCATCAGTGATAGGTTGGCTAAATAAAATGTGGTACATATACACCATAGAATACTATGGAGCCATAGAAAAGAATTATATCATGTCCTTTGCATAGACATGGATAGAGCTGGAGGCTATTACCCTTAGCAAACTAACACAGAAACAAAACCAAATACCACATGTTCTCACTTATATGTGGGAGCTAAATGATGAGGACACATGGACACATAGAGAGGGACAACACGCACTGGGGCCTATTTGGGGGTGGAACGTGGGAGTGTGGAAGGAGGGGGAGAGGATCAGGAAAAATAACTATTGGGTGCTAGGCTGAATACGTGAGTGATGAAATAATCTGTACAACAAACTCCCATGACACAAGCTTACCTTTGTCACAAACCTGCACGTGTACCCCTGAACTTAAAAGTTAAAAAAGAGTAAGAGTCCCTAATCCTACTTACTCAAAGACATATTATAACACCATTATAAAGAGATGATTTTAAGAAAAAAGAGAGAGAAAAACAGATGACGTAGTATGTATTATGAAATAATGGCACTGAACTCTGTAGTTATAAAATGTCAGAAAGTAATAGACTTTAAAGCTCTGGTGGGAAATTATTACAAATCAGAATTCTACATCCAGCCAAATAATCCAACAAATGTAAAGGTAGAATGAAGAGATTTTTAGATATGCAAGAAGTAAAAATAAAATTATCTTTTATTTATTTATTTGAGACACGGTCTTGCTCTGTCACCAAGGCTGGAGTGCAGTGGCATGATTTTAGTCATAGCTCACTATAGCCTCAAACTCCTGGGCTTATGTGATCCTCCCACTTCAGCCTCCCCAACAGCTGGGACTACAAGTGCATCCCTCTGTGCCCAGCTGATTTTTAAATTTTTTGTAGATATGAGGGTCTCCCTTGGTTGCCCAAGCTGGTTTCAAAGTGATACTTCTGCCTGAGGCTCCCAAATGCTAGGATTACAGGTGTGAGCCACCACACCCAGCCTTTGTCTCCCTTTCTCAGAAAGTTTTTAGAAGATATGCTTGGGCCAAGTGAGCAATGAGCTTAGAAGACAACAGATGTTTCCTAGGGCAGTGGTGCCTTGGAGTCTCATGTCGATAGCTGATCCAGTTAGAAAGCAATCATTTCCAACAGCAATAGATGAATAAAGGGATCTGGGAAATATTTCTACAGGGATAAAGAGAGAACTTGGCACATTATCTGACAGTGCTGCTATTTTGGAAAGCAAAATTGGGAGAAATTTGGCAGATATGATAGAGGATGTGGACAAATTAAAGATAAATACATAGAAAACCAAGCAAATGAAAAAATGGCAATTATTAATTTTAGTAAAACCAAAAAATTTTATAACTTTTTGGGCAGAGAAAGGAAGGTGTACTACTTGGCTCAACAGATGATAGTAAAATTTAATTAGTAATGCAAACACTAACTTGATTTAAAAACTATACATAATTGTAACAAGAAAATATAGTAAAGGAAAATGAACCGTGTGAAGAGAATGAAATCTTCTACTACCAACCTAGGAAATTAATAGAAAATATCAAAATAGATAAACCAAGAAAAAACAGTGTTGTAAACATTGTTGGTTGACCTACTCAGAATTCTTTCTACTAACAATGTAGGGTGGCTACGTGCTTACTGGAAAAAATATATGTATTTTCCTGCTTTTATTGTTAGTAAGAGTGGTTGCCTTACACATTCTGGCCAGTTCCGCATGATCAGAAGTCACTGGGTGGGGCTTCTAGGAAGCCTTGTTAGAAATGGGCTCATGGGTCTGGAACGTGCCTTCTCCTGTCACTCTTGGCCCTTCCTCTTCTTGCCTGGAACACAGTTGCATAGCCAGAGGTAGCGCATCTGTCTTGAGACTCCAAGGCCATAAACATGAGAAAGAAAGTCATATGTCAAGGAGGCTGAGCAGAAAGAGGGGTCTCAGAGAGGGCTTTGATGATGTAATGGGGAGCTGCTGTCTCAGCCCTGGGTTGCCTCTGGGATTCTTTCACCTAAAAAAACACAACTCATCATTTGTTTAGAAAATTGAGATTCATACAGCTGAAGAAGATACATAAACACAGTATTTAAAAAGCGTGGCGGCAAATCGTTGATATGGTTTGGATATTTATCCCTTTCACATCTTATGTTGAAAAGTGATCCCCACAGTTGAACGTGGGGCCTGATGAGAGGTGTTTGGGTCATGGGGGCTGACCCCTCATGAATGGCCTGGTGCCCTCCCTGTGGCTTTGAGTGGTAATGCATTCAGGTGATAACAGGTTGTTTAAAGAAGCCCGGCACCTCCTCTCTGTCCTGCTCCGTCTCCTGCCATGTGACCTGGCTCCTCCGTCTTTGCTTTCTGTGAGTGAAAGTTTCCTGAGGCCTCTCCAGAAGCAGATGCTGGTGCCATGCTTGTACAGCCTGTGGGACCACGAGCCAAATGAACCTCTTTTCTTTATAAAGTACCCACTCTCAGGTATTCCTTTATAGCAGTGC